GCGGAGCCACAGGTCCGCTACGACACGCGTCCGCGGATAGAGAAAATCAGCGCCATGGTAAGGGATGGGAGGGAGGGGTAGGACGTCAGATATGACGCGAGCGCACCTAGCTTGTCCTCCTCCCCCTCCTCCTCCTCCTCCTCCTCCCCCTCCTCCTCCTCCCCCTCCTCCCCCTCCGTGCGGCGCTCATGCTGGGCACGGGGCCCGGCCCGTGGCTCCGCCGGGACGGTCTGCCGGCCGTGCTCTGTGCTGTGGCACCCCGCCGGCGCGCACGACGCGACAGCTGTCCTGGACCACTGATACGACCAGGTCTGCTCCAGATTTCGTAATAAAAGGGAGGGGGTCTGGACCCTCCAAGACAAGCCATTTCAGACCTCCCCCGTGGGAGAACCCTCCAAAACATCGTCCCCAGACCACCCAGGCCCTCCAAGATAGCCTGGAAGAGACCCCGACCCCCCTCCCTTTAGTACGAAATCTGGTCCACTCTTAAGGCGGGCCTGTCCCTCTACAGGGGGGGATATGCAAAAATAGTAAAAAAATAGTCAGGGGAATAGTTTTAGAGTTTTTGTTGCACCATGTTGGAGTAATGTTTGAGTATCGTTCAGTTTTCGTCGAACATCCCCCTGTAGGGGGACACGCCCGACTTGAGACCAGGTCTACTCACACCTGACCCCAGACGCGGATGATGCGGCCATCTCTTGCGTGGGTGCACCGCGCCGCTGCGCCGACCAGAAGGTGGTGGTCGCGTGGGACGGCGGGCTCGGGTTGGTCCGGCGGCGGGATGTAGGCCACCTTGCTGAGGTTCTCACCGAGCCGTCGATCGCATTGCCTTCCCCTGGACGTGGATAGGCACCCAGGCCTGTCCGAGTCGCTGGGCATTCCCCCTGGCAGTGGATGGACTCCGCCGCAGGTTCTGGGCGCCGAGGGCTGGACTCCTGGACGAATACGGGGGTAGGGAAAGGGGCGGTCGCGACATCTGCTGCGTGCAGCTGGTTCCTGTCCCGCCGCCGGGCGCCTCGCCTCGATATGCCAGCGCCTCCCAGCGCCAGGAGGCTCCAAGGAGACCAGCCACTTTGCTGCATTCCCCCCCTTTCGTCCGAACGGAGTTTCGAGGGCAGGGTACTGGTCCCGCCTGGGTCAGGCGCTGGGGTGGGGCTCTGATAGCGCGCAGCGCGCAGCAGGCGCTGGCCGTGAGTGGAGCTGAAGGCTGGCTGCCGGCTCGCGGCTACGGGGGCGGGGCGCTTGGCTGGTCCGCGGTGGCGCTGGGCTGCGGCGAGGGGCGTCGGCGGGCACTCGGTGGTTTCTCGACGGGTCTCAGGCGCTGGGCCGCTCGTCTCTGCTCACGTTTGATCCTGTTGTCTGGCAGGCAGTCGAACTGTACGCCCCAGCCGGCGCAGCCGGCAGGCCTGCTCGCGCGGTTCGCTCGCTCGCAGGCGCCAGGCCGCCGGCTCCCTGCGCGGTGGCGGCGCCACGCTGCCTGCCGTCGGGGCGCGCGGGCGGGATCTCGGTGGCCCCCGCGAGGGCCGCGCCCCCCGTGGAGCGCCGTGGTCCACTGCATGGCCGCACGGCCCCCCGCATGCGGACCACCCGCACGGGGTGGACGAGCGCTGCTGCACAGGAGAGGAAAGGAGGCCAGGATTCGGTATCGTTGAACCAATCCCCGTCCCCGTCCCCATCCCCCCTTCGAGACCCCCACCAAATTACCGCCCAAGTTGAGGATACACCCATCGAAACCCGAAGGGAGCGACCTGTTTCCCCATCTAGGGGGGTACATCGACCAGTGGGGCCCAGGCCACGCCGCTGGGGATGGGGATCGGTTAAACGATAGTCAAGAATACCCATGCCACTACCCTTCCCTAGTTTTCGCCGTCTTGGGCATCCTGGGGGGCCCTCGTCGCCACCGCTGGATTCGCTTCGAGATGCTACTCAGAACGCCCCCGGGAGAGGTCTGGGGAGTAGCTGTATCGGTACTTTTTGATTTCTCCAGTTGCCCAGGCAGCCAGTGGGCTTAGCTGCAGCAAGGACGGTCGACAACTCCATTGACAGGAGTGCATAGCTCCTGTGGGCATTAGCTGCAAGACAGATGGCCGATCAGAGCGATGCCGCGCGGAGTCTCTCCCACAGGGTCGCCGAGCCTGGCAGTTTTGTACGGTTTCGTGGAGGTCCAGAGCTTCATGAGCATCCTCGGGCGGCTCTGACACGCGCCGACAGTTTCCCCAAACCCTGCCTCTGTTGCCCTTCCTCAATGAACTCCCACTTGTTGCTCTCCCCCTACCTCCCCTCCTGCCTCCCCGTCCTCGTCCCCCCCCCTTTCCCCCCCCTCCTTGTCCGCCCAGTCCTTGCCCTGATGGTGCCCGCTCCCTCCGAGTCTTCCTCCGAGCTTCCCGCGCCCGCGCGGTGGACGGACCGCGCGCAGGTGACCCTCGGGGGCACGCCCCACGCCCCGAAGACTGTGGGGACGGCCGTGTTCGGCGAGGACGACGAGTCCGACGACGAGCAGGTCCGCGGGCTGGCGGGCGCGGCTACTCCCTCCTCTCCTCGTCCTCCTTGTCCTCCAGTTCCTCGTCCTCTTTTTGTTGTTCTTCTCTTCCTCCTCCTCCTCCTCCTCCTCCTCCTCCTCCTCCTCCTCCTCCCCATCCTCCCCATCCTCTCGACGCAACACACCGTCTGGACTGACGGGCGAGCGGGCGCGCAGGTGTACGGCTCACGCCCCAGTGGGGCTCAATGAGTTTCCCAGGCACTCGCGCCGCGAGCCGCACGCGACCTACATGCGCTGCGACCCATACGCGACCCACCCGCGTCCCGCCAGCTCCGCCACCCACCCTCGGCGCGACCCACCCGCGACCCGACCCCGCCCGCGGCGCGGGCATCCGCGATCCCACACATTGTGCGGAACGGATTGTTTTACTGCGGTTTTGCAGCATGCGAGAGAGCGTGTTCTGCCGCTGCTTGCAGAAAACTGAGGGGGGGGTGTCACTGGGGATTCCAATCCCCCCCCCCTCCCCTCCCACGGTCCTTCATGAAAGGGGGGGAGTCACTCCCGGTTCGAACCCCCCCCGCGCCCCCCTCCTCGCCGCCGGCAAACGACTCCCCCTCCCCCCATTCCGGATGGGGGACTCTGGTGGGGACAGTGGTTGGGACGGTGGTGGGGATGGTGGTGGGGTGTGGGGACAGTGGGACAGTGGGGACAGTGAGGAGAGTGGGACCGTGGTGGGGACTGGAGGGGACAGTGGGGCCAGTGCGACAGTGGTGGGAGCACTGATGGGGACAGTGGGGACAGTGGTGGGGACGGCGGTGAGGGGAAAGTGGGACAGTGGTGGGAACAGTGGGGACAGTGGGACAGTGGTGGGGATGGTGGCGGTGGGGACAGTGGTGAGGGCGGTGGTGAAGACGGCTGTGGGACAACGGAACAGTGGTACAGTGGGGGCAGTGGTGGGGACGGTAGGGACAGTGGGACAGTGGTGGGGACAGTGGGGGCAGTGACACAGTGGTGGAGGCAGTGGGACTGTGGTGGGGACGGTGGTGGGGACAGTGCTGAGGGCGGTGGTGAAGACGGTGGTGGGGACCCTGGAGTTGTATGCCGGCGGCGAGTGGGGGGGAAAGGAGTTCGAGCCGGTAGTGACCCCTTGCGGTTTTCTGGAGGGGGGGGGGGTTGGGCGGGGGGGGGTCGAGAGAAGGGGGAGGGGTTCGAGCAGGGGGGGAGGATTTTCGGAGGGGCGGGGACCCCCGGGTTCCGGAGGAAAGGGGGCGGCGAATTTTCCACAGCAAAGCGGCGGTTGATCACGCTCTCTCGAGCATGCCGATCTTCAGCAAGGCAGTCTGGGCCGTCCTTAACTCTCATCCGCAATTGCGGGTTTCGGTACTTAGGACATGTTTGACGGTTCCGGGTGTTGGTTGGAGGGGTTCGTCTATAAAATTTAAGGAATTGAGGCGGGAGCCGTTGTTAGGGCAAACGCGCATCATTCCAGCAGTGTGGGCTCACGAATCATCCCGGGCACTTTTTTTCCTTTTTGCTCGCGTGGCACTCGCCCCAGGTCATCGGCACCCGCCCTCTTCGTCTTTGGTCGTGCCCCCTCTTGGGGTGGGCGGGGGATCTGGTATGCTTCAGCGCCGTGGTGGTCCCTCCCGCCAGACGAACGGCGCAGACAAGCGGGGTCGAGGGCGCGACCACTCGCGCGTAAGCTGCCCGCGTGTGGTCGCGCGTGAGCGCCCTCGTCTTCGCTGTAGTGCGTCTCGCTGGCGGCCCGCGCATGCCACCGTGAAAGTTCGCTACGGCATCGTGCGTAGGACCCGTGTCTTTGTGTCGCCCAGATGCCGAACATCAGGCGATCGGGCGGCCCGTGGAGGGGCGGGCGGGCGGAGCCTGCTGCGGACGAGCGGATGGGCCCGAAGGCTGGCGGGCGCGCTGGCCCCGAGGCGGGAGGGTGGGAGGTCGGGCGGCAATATCTGGACTTAGAGTTAAGTCGGGCCTGTCCCCCATACCGGGGGATGTTCGACGCAACATAAAAAACTACCCCCAAACATGCTTAAATAAAGATAGTCCAAGCATAGTCTGGGGACTATCATGTTTTTAGTATTGTTTGACTTTCTTGGGGGTATGTTTGGGGTATTTTTATTTTTCGTCGAAAATCCTTCTGTAGGGGGACACGCCCGACATAAACTTAGATTGCCCGCAAGCCTCAGAACGTCAGCTGAGCGACGGAAGAAAACGTGTCCAGCTTCGCGGACGTTCGCGTTGAAGATAGACGCGTAAGTTCGCGTGCGAGCGCCCTCCTCTCCACGCGGTGTGCCTCGCTGGCGGCCCGCGTGAGCCGCGGCGTAAGGTCGCTATGGCATCGGGCGTTCCTTTTCGTCGCGCAAATGGATCGCCCGCAAGCGCGTGAAGGTTCCCTTTTGGGTCGTAAGCCTTCCCAGAAGTGCTAGCCGTGGAGCTCCGTTGGCCCATGGGTCTGTGAGATGTGCTCTGAGATCAGGCATTCTTCCCAAGAGTCGGTCTGGGCAGGGGTCTGTGGAGGGAGCCTCACGCAACAGCTTCTGTTGGTGTCAGTCGGGGGCTGGTGGGGGTGTCGAGGGCCGCGGTCTGACGCTGCAGGCCGTCCACTCTGAGCCTCGTTGGGCGCGAGTGCCGAGAAGCACATTTCTCTGGAGCGTACCTGAGCGTACAGCGCAGGGGATGCCGTGGCACGTCGAGCGAACGTGCGGCTGCGCCAGTGGACCGCGTGCCCCCCCCCCCCCAGCGGCGGGGGCAGCAGCCGCTGGGGAATGCCGGGGAAGGACCTTTCTCGGGCCGCGGAGGTCTCTTCGTGCCTCTCTGGCTGCGCGGGGGGCCGCCGTGGAGCCCCTCTGGGCCGTCCTGGGGGCACTCCTGGGCCGTCCGGCGCCGTCGGCCTCTCCAGATCGTCGCGGGGGGCCTCCCTGGGGCCTTGCGGCGCCGTCCGCGGGCCCACCTGCCCACTTGGGCCGTCTTGGGGCCCTCTCGGGGCAGGCTCGGGCCGTCTCGGGGATCTCTCGGGCCTTACTGGGTTGATCTCGGGTCCGTCTGCGCAGACTCGGACGCGCCGTAAGGCCGAGGAGCCAACATTTTTCAATGATTGGAAAACGTAGGCGCGACCAATGGTGTCTCCTCTCGGGGCCTTCCTGAGGAACCTCGTGACGCATTCTTGGGGGGTGTCTCGGGGACCTTGTGCCGTCTCATGGCCATCTTGGGGGCCATCTGAGTTCCGTCTTGGAGGCATCTTGAGCATACTTGGAGAAAGCTGTGGCCATCTTGGACGGACGTTGCGGCGACAAGGGCCTTGCTGGAGGCCGTCTTGGAGCTACCTTGGGAGGAAGCGCCGTTGGAAGCTGGTGTTTCCGGGTGGCCAGCGCACCGGGAGTGGAACCCACCCTGACCCTCTGGAAGGGCCAGGAAGAGCCAGAACGTCGGGCACGCCGAGCAGCATTCCGCAGGCTGCGTGGGCGATCTGGGCGGCGGGCCAAAGACTTGAGCAGGGACCGACCGTCCAGGCATTCCTCTAGGCCTACCACGACATGTCCTTAGAACCCAAACATGTTCGAACAAACGAAGCATGTTCTTAGAACATAAGCCCGATGTGTTAACACAAGACAGTCCTGGCCAGAAATGTTCTAAGTACATGTCGTTCAGACTACAAAAGGTTCTTAGAATATTCTTTGGTAGGCCTAGAGGCGAGCTAGGACGCTTCGCCACTGCTTGAGAGACGCCTACTTCGAGCCGCCGCTGCCACCTGTCTTTCTGGAAACGCCGATGTGACCAAATGCCGATGTGACCCAACGCCTGGCGAAGATGCAGAAGTATTGGCTCCCACAGCCTTTGCGGAAACCCGTTGGGAATATTTTGAGGAGGACGAGAGAGGAACGCAATCTGCATCGATGTTCGTAAGGCTTTTTGTTAGATTGTAGTATGTCGTGCCAGAGCCCTGACACCAACAGGGCTCCTAGACACTAAGCCATGAACCTCACGCCCTCACCATGTACACGCGCCTTCCGTTTCCGTGCCGAGGAGGTAACGGAAAGAGCGAGGTACGAGTGATGACGTTCTGGGGGGGGGGGGGGGGCGAAGCCCTCTAGGGAGGGGTCCAGGGGAGGGGCGAGGCGGTGTGGGATGAGTGGTAATGGCTAGCTTTCCTCGTATGTTTGTCGAGTGAAGGGGCTCCCTGGCGGCTCCCATGGCCTGTTTCTTTATTTTTTTAGTGAAGCTGCCAGAGGGCCCCAACACGGCCCAAGAGGGCCCCAAAATTGCCCCAGAGGGCCCCAAGACGGCCCCAAGGGAGCTTCACATGGCCTTCAGACGGTCCAAGAAAGCCTCGAGACGGCTCCAGAGGCTCTCCAGAGGGCCCCCGAGAGGGACTCCAGGGGCAACACACATTGATTGTTCATTGGTTTTTGCAGGTTTGTCGGGTTCCTGCCGTATCGGACCAACAACGATCCAAAACGGCCCAACAGGCTCCAAAGATCGTCCCAAGACGGCCCAAGATGCCCCCGAAAGGGCCCGAAAACGGTCCAAGAGCCAAGACGGCCCCAGAGTGGTCCAAGAGGGCCCCAAGACGGCCCAAGAGGGCCCAATACGGCCCCACGAGAGCCCCAAAAGGGCCCAAAGAGGCTCCCAAGAGGGCACCAAGAAGCCCCCAAGAGAGCCCTAGGACGTTCAAAGGCCTCCAAGACAAGACGGTCCAAAAGGGTCCCAAGATTGTCCAAAATTGCCCCAAAAGAGCTCCTGAAGAGCTCCAACAGGGCCCCAAGGAGACCCCGATGAGGCCCAAGAGACGCTTAAGAACACCATGGCTCCCATCAGCGAGCGGTGACGTAGCAAGCTCTTGACACCAAGGCTCCCCAGAGCGCGGTGACGCAAACAGCTCGTCACACCATGGCTCCCAAGAGCGAGCGGCGACGCGAAGGTATCCGAGCGCCAGGGCCCCCCACGGAAGAGCAGCGACGCAGCCGGCCCTTCACACCAGGGCTCCCGAGAGCGACGGGTGCCCT